TAGAAGGAAAAATGGTCTATCAATGAACTCAACACCTAAAAGCACAGGGCTACGGACACAAAGGGTCCCCGGAAAACAGAACCCAACAAACCGGAAATCAACACCCAGATTACCGAAACTAACCAGGCTAGATTAGAAATAGGGCTAGTATAGGGACGAGCAAATCAAAAACAACAAAACTAGAAATAACTTACAGCATTGTTGAAAAATATGCGGGAAAAATGCTAGTTTACCACCGGAAATTGCCTTCACTTTGCTGTAAGTCACCAGATCTAGTGTGGTGTCAGACAGGTGAAAAATGGAAGGGGAAAGCGAAAGTCAACGCCGGAGAAGAAGGATAGCCAAGATCTACAAGGCTGAAAGCAAAGTTGGCGTGGAGAATGTCAATCGGTAGGTTCCCTTCCCCTCAAAGAGACAAGATTGGTGAAGGATGGATGAGAAGAATAAAGATTTGAAGGTCGCCGGAGAAGCCATTGGAGATAGCCGAAAATCGCCTTAACAAGTACAAGATTTTGGTTAAGAAAGCCTATTTTAAAGTTAAGAATTACGATTCTTTTTTTAAAACTTGAAGGATTAGTAATTTGACATTTCCAAATATAAACACTTGTCAATAAGCAAATTCCTTTTTTACTTCAATTTGTTTGTTTGTTATTTTTTTATTTTTATATAAATATATATTTTCACAAAACCCTCTTAATATGGGTCCTGCATAAACAAAGAAAAAAAGTTAAATAAATAAATAATTGACACCTTGCTAATGTCAAATATGACATACATAGGGCAATGCAAAATACTACTTAGATAAATGACAATTTTTTTTTTAGAAATATTAAATATTACATGATAAGCTATCAGATAAGGTTTGATGGTAATGTGCTTAAGTTGCTTTTTGGTTAAATCACCTCTAATTCCAATGAACTCGATTAGGCCCATATCAGTCAAGTCCATGTCAGTTGTTTGACAACTGAATAATTGAAGAGAAGTTGGTGAATTGTATGATAAAAGTAAAAAAAGAAAAAGAAGAAAAGAAAAAGAAAAAGAAAGAAGCGCTAAAATGAAATTTTGGGCGCCAACATTTTTCCCCCAAAATAACTATTTTGATGGAACATCGTAAGGGTTTCAATCTCTCTCTCTATCTGATGATGATGAAGGCCAAAACAATTGCTAGGCTGATCATCTCATCTCTTCTCTTATCTTCGGTTGCTAGGGTTAATGAACCAATCGACTACTAGGTTTGTTTCTTCTTCCTCTCTCTCTCTCTCACTCTCTCTCTCTCTCTCTCTCTTCTGAATCTTTGATTTGCCTCATCGGTCTTCAAAACGACTCGAGGAGCTCAAACTCAAGATGGTGGCCAACTGTGTGTTAAGCGAACAAGCTCATGGAGCTGCAGCTGGAAAGTCTGGTGAAACTGAAGTCAAACCGTTGCAGACGATTTCAACGCAGATTACAGATCATGATTTGAGAGGCACAGAACTGTCAGACATTAACGAGAAGCCTTTGGAGGACCAAGCTGTTCCAGAAGATCAACCAGCAAGGCCAAAAACTGAGATGAAAAACCAGGAAAATTTAGGATCTGAAGTCAATCCATCTGGGGATTCCTGGTCCGATTCGTGCCTAGAATTCACATTTAAGACACTTACAGGGGCACTAGCTGTAAGGGTCTCTCTCTCTCTCTCTCTATATATATATATATATATATATATATGTATGTATATAATTGTTTTTAGATTCTGATGATTCTGATCTCTGTTACCGTTACCTTGTTCACAATTTTACTATGATTTGTTAATTTTCTAGAAATGTGTCCTGGATTGCTTTTAACAATATGTGAAATAGAGTACAATTTCGATATATTAATCAGTTAGTGTGAGTTGAAACCCTAAATAATAATTTTGTATCTATCGAACTTGGCATTGATTGATTTTCAACTTTCTGGGGCAATGCTTTACATTTAATGGTGACATTTTGAACCAAATTAGTAGTTAGATGTTGAAACTTCAACAATATATTTTGATTTAAAATAGTTTGTGGTTGTGTTTTCTGATGTAGCACCAGTAGGAAGAAGAAGATTGAAGAAGGAGATAAGAATAAACAGGGGATTACAATCTGTTATCAAATTTCTCAATGAATCAAAATTCAAATCATATAGTCTACTAAATCCGTCACATGAAGTCCATATGTATAGACAAATCAAACTAATCCTGAACAAACTTGGCTTCCCAAGTAAATAAAACTCCTAGATAAATAAAATTCCGAAATAAATAAAAATCTTAATCTTTATCCTCATCTAACTTATTTGTTCCGCATTGGATTCTTCTTGATGGTAGAAGTTGAAAGAAAATGATGTTATTTGTTATGAATTTTGTCTATTCAAAGACTCACTGTGGTAAACCTTGTATGCTTTTACATTTTCTTTTTCCTTTTTTTCCTGGTTTCACTTTTTTTGTTGGATGTTAAATACTTTTTGGCTTTCATGTTCTTTTTCAATCTTTTTGTTTTTTTGGAAAATGACTTCAGTGGTAGATACTTAAAATATGATAGGAATTTGTTGCACTATATTCTTCTTTTAATGATCCTAAATTATTTCACTTCATTCTTTGTTGAAATTATATATTCAATTGTTTCTTCTATTGAACCTGTTTACAAAAGATATGATGCGAAGTATACCAAAACTGATACAGAACATGTTACAGTCTCTATCATCTCACTGATTTGTGTAACTTGTCCACCACAGGGTTATTGTAATTTCCTCCCCGAAGAAAAGTTGCTACAAGCAGTAAAAGTTGGTCAGGTTGTTTATCTAAGTATGTTGCTTTTGTTGCTATTGCATTGTTACTATTTTGATTTTTAATGTTGTTTTTATTTGAAGCCAAGTTCTGTAGTACCTATTTCTCTTTGCCGTATTCATGTGGATTCTTAAATTTACTTGGCAATGGATGTTTACATTCCTCCAAATATGTTGTTGATCTCTTGTTCGATACTCGATTATCTGTAGGGTATTTTGATAAATGTGTATTGGGTTCATTTTGTTCTTGCATTTTTTTCCCTTCAATTTTATCTTATTTTGATCCATTGTTTGATTTTGTGCCAGTAATGAGTTACAAATAGTGATGTTTTGTTTTATAGAGAAATGCAAGTTGGCAGAGGCCTGAGGGCAAGAGAAGGTCTCTCTCTTTCTCCCCCTACGCACACACATGTGAGCACACACGTACACCTCCTATGTTTTGCTTGACATAATATGGGCTGAGAGTAGTTCGATGAAGGTTGATATGTTAAAATGATCATGGAGGATCTTAGTGTCACTTTTCAGGCATTAGGTATCATAACTAAGGATATTGGTCCTGTGTACTTCAAGGAAAGCATCCTTCAATATGTTTAATGTAAGGATGTCTTTCCTACTGTCCATCTTCAAGCAGTTTGGCCATGCTTAGTTTTCTTGAGTTTTATTTTTATTTTTATTTTTTCTTTTCACCCCCAATAATTTTGGAGAGAAATAGGCAAAGTTGGAATCAAAGCTTACATTTTTATTTAGTTACAAGAAGCCTTATGGATTATGGGACTTCTGAGGCACATGGCTGATGCCTTGATGCTTTTCAATCTTTAGAGAAGTTAGATATTTTCCTTGCATGGTAGTGGAAATTGGGGGACCTCTTGCCTACTAAAAACAAAATTGTTCCTCTTGTATGCTAGATTTTCCCCCCCTTGGAAAAGCTCTTACATAAAAGAATTTATTTTTATTCATTTTGAGAGCTTAAGTGAAGTTTTCAAAATAAATTATATCAGGTGGGACTGCAAGTTATCTACTAGGAATGAGTGGACGTATTGCAGCTCAAGCAGATGAAGCAAGCAACCCAATCAATGTGAAGAATCTATCTTTGGCTTGGATGATTGGTTTTCTCTTTCTTGTCAGCTTTGTTGGTCTCTTTTCAATTGGCCCCCTTAGAAAGGTATAATAATAATAGATTATTACAACCAACCAATTTTAATTTTAATAATATATTTTATTGATAAGCTTTTTAATTTGTAATTTTTTTTGAATTGTTTTTCCTCTCCTCCTCAGATGATGATACTCAAGTACAAGTTAACATACCCTAGTGGAACTGCAACTGCCTACCTCATCAACAGCTTTCACACTCCTAAAGGAGCCAAACTAGCCAAGTAATTAATACTGTCTCTTACCCTAATCTTATTTAATGTATCTATTTAAAACTAAAATTGATATTATTTACCACACAATGTAACTATTTAGAACTAAAACTGATATTACTTACCACTTGGCCCTCATGAAGCATTAAGTTTGAGATTCAACTCCCATTTGAAAAAATTATTAGATAGTCTTGGAGCATCACATGGTAATACTCCTACCAATTATCAAATGTCATATCGCTCGTTGTTCTTCTATTACCAAACACCAAATTATAGGCTCCACTCATTCTACCAATCACAATATTCCTGGACACTACCTAGCCATGCCCCAAGACCACCACATAACTTCTCCTCCCATTGAGTGCTATCAATTGCTCAGGGACTATGCCCGTGAGCATAGTTGAAGATTTGCCTGACTCGCATGGAAGGAAATGCTTTGCGTGAGTCTTGAGATTAGTCGAGTACACCCAATGAATAGTTTGACCCTTCTATGGATAATGTAGGAAAAAAGATAAGAAATATTTATACCACACTTTTTCTAACAAAAACAATTGACTTCTAACATTTAGGTTTATTCATATTCTTGATCTACAATTTTTCTTTTTGCTTTTATCTTTTTTTAAAATTTAAGTTGTGAGGGCTAGTGGGGGAAAATTATTAGAATTAGCATCTTGTTTATTTATTTTTTAAAATTTTTTTGGGAGCTAATGAGTTAATTAATTTGGATGCAGGAAACAAGTAATGATGCTATTCTATTCCCTCTGTGGTAGCTTTACTAATGCACTTTTTCAATGGTTCTTTGCTGCTGCTAATGGCTGTGGATTTAGTAACTTTCCCACCTTTGGTCTCAAAGCCTTTAGCCAAAGGTTAGCTCTTTCTCAACTTTTCCTAATAATCATTTTATTATTTTATTACTTACTGCTTGTTTAAGTAATATTAGTGAAAGGAAAATGATTTGAAAATGAATGAAATTTTTGAATTTATGAGAATCATATATAAAAACTATGTTTATGTATCATTATTCTTATTGAAATTAGTGATAGGAGGATGGAATGTCCTTTGGGATGGAAGGCTTTATACCTTTTTGATATTGGCACACCATAACCTAATGTTTTCAAAATTAACCATGCCCAATTTAATGTTATTCAGTTGTTTTATGAATACCGAAAATTTTCATAAAAATGTATTTATGACTCATCATTTGTCTCAAATCTATATTTTTCTAACATGTGTAATTAGATATTTACCCATAAAGTGTATTAAGTAATTTGAGTCAATAAGGCCTGTTAATACCAAGGTGCTTAATTATTGTAAAAAATTATTATAGTAGTTTTTTCTTTGATAAGTAACAACAGTAAAATGAGTAACACAAGTATATAGGAAAATAGAAACTTAACCACCACCACCACCACCACTAATAGCATAAACTTCATACGCAAAAGAAAGGATTCAGAACAATAGATAAACAAATAGTGACTGGTGTGAACTTCAACGTAAAGACAACAGGCAACATAGCATACAAATTTTATTGTTTTACATGTAGTTGGTGACATTAACAGCTGTCATTAAACCACTTTGTTCTGAATTGATTCGCAAGGGTGTATGCTTTGCTCTGAAACTTGATTGATTTTAAGATTTGATTGTGTGTTGTTTATTCGAGGAAGAAAAATAGAAAATGAATAAGAGAGCATGATCCTTCCTGTAACAAAATATCTTTGATAAATTACAACATTAATAAGTTGCCCATCAGTTCCAAATATTTTTTATATTATTGGTTTTACTTATGTCAAATAGAATATTGAAATATAGAAATTGGAGAAAAGATGAGAGCGTCTGCAATGGAGTGGCTAAAAATGTGTTTTATTGAGAATCTGTTTGACGTGGTTGTGATTCATGTGATGATTGTCAACATTTATACTATGCTCTTTGTGGCAGGTTCTGATGAATTTAACAAATGACAACCTGTGTGCTGTTAGCAAATTGCTGCCTGTGGAGGACTGGTGAAACCTTGTCTTCATTGATTGCTGGCCACTTTCCAACGTTCAGTTCATCTTTGCCTCCCTTCAGCGATATAAGAAATGATACTTGTTGTCCAAGTCTTAAGACATTTGAAAGGGTGTGATCGGTAGGACTTTATCTTTTATAAGACTAGAACAATCTCTACAAATAGTTAGTTTATTCATATGCTTCTAGCGGTTTCTGAATTAATTTTTGTTTTCATTTTTCAGGTTAGAAATTCTTGGAGAGATACAAAATATGGTCAAAGAATTCAAGAACTTAGTTTTTTAAGTTTTTTCATTTTTTAATATATGTAAGCATGGTTTAAAACTTTTTATTTAATTCCTTTGTATATACTTTTGAACATATTTAATTTTCATTTATGAAATGTACGACGTTATTCTATTCAATATGTGGTTGTGATTCAAAGTATAGTATATAGTGTGTATTACATTCTTGAAATGCACGTATAAAAATAATATTGATTATTCTTCAAATATGTCAATTTTTTTTTTTATTACATGTTTTATTAGTTATTAATCACACTTAAAAGGTGTGATCTAAATGTTTTTAATCACACTTAAAAGGTGTGATCTAAATGTTTTTAATCACACTTTAAAGATGTGATGAAAGTATTTTTTAATGACACTTAAAAAGTGTGATTAAAAATGACTCCTTTTAATCACACTCCCAAAGACCACACTTTAATAAAACTTAAAAGGTGTGATTAAAATACATACATCACACCAAAAAAGTGTGATCTTTATCTGTATTTGTAGTAGTGGTGGGAGTGATGAATGCCAATAGCCTAGTGTTCGTGGAGCCGTGGTTAATTCCGATTCTCATTGGAGACCTCTTGAAGCTTGAAAACCAGCTTCCCTTCTTCGTTCTTTTGGATTTATACGAACACTCCATTCGCGATGTCAATAGCAACAAAGATATTTTTGTCAAGTGGCCAGGCTTGGGGTTGCATATGCAAGCCTTAAATTTTTTTAATCTTGCCTTGCCGAGGTCTTTTGAATCATTCGAGGATGAAGGGCAATGTCCCGATCTTCGACTAACCCATCATCTACTCGATTTGTTTTACAGTAGCTACTGCTTGCCAAAACGATCATTCCCCAACTTAAGCCGCATCTCCAAAAGAAGATGGCTCCCCCGCTTAAGCTACCTTAGAAGATGGCTCTACAGAAGAAGATGGCTCTACAGAAGAAGATCACATGAATTACCAAGGTATTGTCCATTATCTGAATAGTCAATACCATGTGTGACACGACTCCGACATGTTGGGGTCAAGTTTAGGCCACAAAAAGGCAGTGATAGCAATTTCTTGCACATAAATTTCCACAAAGGGGTGCTAGAAATCCCACCCGTGATCATCAATTATTTCACGAGAACTATCCTAATTAACTGTGTTGCCTTCGAACAATGCTACTTACCACGATCTACCTGGAAATACTTTTCTGAATATATTGCCTTCATGAATTGTCTCCTCAACTCAAGTAGAGACGTTACATTCCTTTGTGATGACGGAATTATCTCAAATTCCTCCTACAGTGATGACCAAGTTGCTGATTTTTTTCAAGAAATTGGGAGAGCATGTTGTGTTCAACATTAGAGAGTGTTACCTAAAAAATGAATTCAGAGAAGTGGAGGCCTACTATAGCAGCAACTGGGCAACTTAAAGGCGCACATTTCTTAGCAGTCCGAGGTCAACTATGGCAGTCGTCTCATCCTTTGTTCTGCTGGCGCTAACGGCGATACAGACGATCATAGCCATTTTGGGCTACAAGGTCCCCCATAGCTAATGCTTCTGGATTGTTATGCTGATCAGAATTAACTGTATCCAAGGTGAATGTTTATCTCACCCAAGAAATCTCCTATGATGCTTTTCTCTTCTTTTTCTTTATTATGTTAACTTGTCTGCCTATTTTGTTTGGGTCTCTAATCTTTTCCTTTAAAATGGAATAAATTATATAGCATAGATGTGGGTATATATATATATATATACACATCCATGATGGCTTTACTAGTATAATAGTGATGCCATGTGGCAATATCATCTATAATAAGGTTGAAATCTCTCATTCATTGATTGGATGAGTTGGATGAGTTGGTAGGCAAGGGATGTCTATCCAATTTCATTTTAGATTTTTTATTAGGTGTCACTATTATATTCAATATTTGTTGTTGATTCACTTGTACTTTCTATTACATGTGAATTTTTCATTAATTCTTCCGATTTTTTCAGCAAACTTACATCTAGTTCTTCTGATTTTTTTTTGCTTTCTGTCTCAGAGTTTGTATTGTTGTTACATCTCTTTCGTTCATCGCAATAATCTTCATGGTGCTTACTCTCTTGCTCGTTCAAGGATGATGATAACTAATGAAGTTTTATGTTCAAGAAGGATAGATTCTAGATAAGTTTGTTGGCACTCCATGTGCAAGCCGCAAGCTGGAGCCTGTTTCAACTATATATGGTTTTATGTTGTATGCATATCTATCGTGTTAAGTTTGTATGTGTCTTCCAGTTCCAGTTATATAGCGATCCCGGATTTACCCTTGTTGTACAGTGATCCGGACATGTGTCCGTGGATGTTGGTAGTTGATTATTATCTTGTTTACATTCTTTTTACTTTGTAGTTGAGTTATGGGATGTGTTGGGCAGGTTTGTTACAGGTTGGTTGAGTTTAGAAACCAAAACTAGTTGCCCAGATTTTGACCTGTCTACTCGAGCGGGAATTGCACCCATCCAGTATTTCCTGTGCAGTGTTGGACGCTCGAGCGTGTGATTGGCCGCTCGAGCGGGGTTGTGTGAGTGTCGCTCGAGCGGGGAGTTGGAAGCTCGAGCGGAGACCTAGCTCTGTAAAAGTTCTGGGAGTGTGCATCCGCCGCTCGAGCGGGATGGTTGACGCTCGAGCGGGAGTCTGTGAGTGACGCTCGAGCGGGGAGTTTGACGCTCGAGCGAGGCGACTGGGTTAAAGCTCCGTGTTTTGACTTTTCAAATCACTTTTTCACTTTCTCTTCTCTCTCCTACTTTTCCAAAAACACCATTGTTGAGCCTCTCACTCTAGAACTCTACCTTCTCTCTAGGTCAACCGAGGGATCTTCTTAACATCATCCCCTGTCAAAACAATATCAACATAAACAACAAGAGCTGTGGTCTTGCCATGTGAGGAGTGTTTCACAAATAAGGTATGATCAGCTTGAACCCATATCTCAGCATAGCTTGAGCAAACCTTTCAAATCAAGCCCTAGGAGACTGCTTTAGCCCATAAAGTGACTTCCGGAGCTGCACACTTTAGCTTTGGACTTAGCATCCTCAAAACCAGGGGGAATATCCATATAGACCTCTTCTTCTAGGTCTCCATGAAGGAATGCATTTTTCACATCAAACTGATGAAATGGCTAATCCAAATTTGCTACAAGGGAGAGTAGTATTTTCACAGAGTTCATCTTAGCAACCGGTGCAAATGTCTCCTGGTAATCAATCCCATAAGTCTGAGTGAAGCCCTTAGTAACTGGTGGGACCTAAGGGTTGAAATGTTAATTATGGAAAATGACCTAATTACATTGTTTGATTAATTGGGTAATTAATTGTGAGAAATGAGGAAATGAAATGTTGATTGAATATCCATTTGTGCATTTAATTTCTGTTTAGAAATAACTGCTTTGGGCTATCGGTGGAGGATAGTCGTGATTGTTATAGTCAATGCATGATGATTAGGAAAACGAAAACTAATCAATGGGATGTGTCTTGGAATTTGACGGTTGATAGAATACATTAACTGTATGTATTGAATGATAGTATATAGAACCAATGTGTTTGTATACGTTATGTGTAGAGGAGGAGATGGGGGATGTACTCCGCGGTTTAGGGGAAGATGGGGGATGTACCTCTAAACCGGATAGTGTTGGGAGGAGATAGGGGATGAACTCCGTAGATACAGCTCATATGCTTGTCGAGAGAAATGAAGATAGAGCTCATATGCTTATCTTTGAGAAGTGTAGATACAGCTCATATGCTTGTCTAGAGAAGTGAAGATAGGGCTAATATGCTTATCTTTGTGGAATGTGGATGTAGCTCATATGCTTATCTGTGAATGTGGGATATAGTTATTATACATATCTGTTGTGATGATAGAGCTAATATGCTTATCTGTTAAAAAAGGGAAAATGAAAAGTAACTTGGACTCATAAGTCGTATGACATAAATATGTAATTTATGTGAATGCATCAGTGTTGGCCATCTATCAATTGCTAATCTTTTAGTCATTGTTCATGGTTGGTTTAGTGTATTTCTACTGGTGTGGGATATAGTTATTATACATATCTGTTGTGATGATGATAGAGCTAATATGCTTATCTGTTGAAAAAGGGAAAATGAAAAGTAACTTGGACTCATAAGTCGTATGACATAAAATGTGATTTATGTGGATGTATTAGTCTTGGCCATCTATCAATTGCTAATCTTTTAGTCACTGTTCATGGTTGGTTTAGTGTATCTCTACTGGGCTGTGGCTCACCCTATATGGGAATATCATTTTCAGGTACAGGTAGCATGCCACCTCCAAGGTCATAGCTTGGGAGGCTAGAGGCGGACAGATTTTGTTGTTTAAGTTCCTTTTTGATGTATTACATGTATATTCAAGCCGAGGGCTTAATGTGTAGATGAGTTAGCACTCTTTTGTTGTAACCAAGTGTTAACTTGGAAAGCTGTAAGCCCGTAGGGCATTTTGCTTTTGTTGTTAACATGTAATACTTTTGTAATGAAACTCTGATGAATAGAAGAATGTGGATATTTCGTATGTCAATGAATGTTTTATTTGATGGGTTTAATGTCATTATTTCGAGGGCGTTACAAGTTACATGTATTTTGTGGGTTTTTCGTTTGTTTGCTCTTAGTTTGGTTGGTTCTGGTGAAACTCGTGTATTTCTTCTTTTATTATTATTAAAGGATTAATTACCTTTTTAGTACTTAAAAGTATTTTGCCATTTTGGTTCTTATTGTTTAACTTGTGACAATTTAATCCCTAATGTACAAAAAAAAATATTTTGATTTGGTCCTCTAATCTGATTCGTTCTTAAATTGTGTTAAATCTAATTTGGATAATTTGAGAATAAATGTGTAAATGCTATTAAAAAATGTATATTATATTTTTAGCTTTTACAATATGTGACAAGCAATATTATGTAATATTTAAATTGTGTTAATTTATTCTTTATTGTATAAAAATTGTTTCAATTATTAGGTCTCCCAATCTAATTCAATCTCTCTCCTAAACCATAGGTAAATCATGAAAACTATAAATACACGTCATAATAAATATAACAGAAATGTTTTGGGACTCTTTTTTTAGAGTTTTATGATCTCTAATTTGA